TACACAAACAGTGATACACTAATGTAATCATGCCGTGACTAGATGCAAGAATGTCCTTAAAGAAGAACCAAAGCAGTCGCAGCTGGGGTGAGTCATCAGTCATTATGCTTTAAAATTACTTTGGCAATGTAAACAGTTATCTACATGAATATGCATGTTCAAATCATTTTCTTTATACGAGTATTTATCTCTAGGTGCACACACATTGACATAGATACATGTGTACATACATTATTATTATGGTAGTTACTATCATCTTTACTCTTTCTATTGTTATTGATATTATCATTATCATTGTTATTGTTATTATCAATATTTTTGTTATTATCATTTTAGCTATTATTGCCATTATTATTAGTTATCGTTATTTTCATTATTATTAGTTATCATTATCATTATTACTATTACCACCGTTATCATCATCGCCATCGTCAGCATCATCACCAATATTACTACCATCATTGCTGTTATTATATTTTACAATAACATCATTTACATCAATATCATTACCAAAATCGTTATCATCATCATTATCATCATCAGTATGATTGTTATGATAATTATCTTTATCATGACTAGTATTACCTACTATTAGTTTTGTTGTTACAATTAATATTATCATTATTACTATCATCACTGACATTATCATTACTGTTATCATTCTCATTATCGTCATCACAGTTTCATCATAGTATGCAGTTTGCTCATTATCGTTATCATTAGTAATATCATTATCGTCATAATCAGTATCATCACTCACATTATCATTACTGCATTTATTTGTAATTTCATCATCAAAATTATGGTCTAGATCAGAGGTCAGCAACCTTTGGCACGAGTGCCAGACTTGGCACGCAGAGCGCTTGTCTATGGCACACTATGTGATTCAGAGGAGCAAAGAAAAAAGTCAAACAGCAAAATATTATGAGAGAGAGTGTGTGTGAGCGTGAGTGAGTCTTATTCTTATGGCCAGTTAAGTTTTAAAATCGAGAAATATTGGAAACTACTGCGATTAATTCAGTTGCATGACAAAAGTAGCCTTGGCATTGCTATCACCATTTGGATCTAAATACCACATTTTCATGCATGCAGCATACCCTCAGCCCCCAATCTCAGCGGATCACTCTGAGGGTTGTCTGAAGCTCAGTGTGTCCAGATATGAATATGGTTTGTGAATCTAAAATCATAAAAGATATACTTTTTTGTTGTTTGTTTACAAAGAATATTAAATGTTACAAAAATATTACATTAATGCTATGTGTAGGAAAATACACTTGGGTATAAAGTGATGAAAAAAACTGGCACGCAAGATTATTGATAAGAAGGCATTAATCATAAACTGGCAATGTTCAAAATGTTGCCGACCCCTGGTTTAGATTATCATTACCATAAAATCACGTATTAACAGCTGGTATATACATCACGCTAATCATGTAGATCGCCCTGCCTTTAAATTGAGATAAACAAATAAACGAAAAACAAACGAAAATATAAAAAGGATAAACAGTAAGAAGACAGGATAAACAGTTAGAAAATATAGATAAAGATCACGATTTTCTCAATATACAGATAAACAAAAAGAAAAAAAAAGAAGAGAAATTCAAAGACTGATACCGACTAAATGTAAACAAGTAACTTTAGCAACAAGATTAGTGGCCAAAGGTAATTCATTCAATTTACATACAGTACCTCTTGGCCATGGTCTTTTATATGTTGAGCTATCAAAATATTATATTGCACAATTTATGGCTAATTTTAAACCCTTTGTGCATGTGTTCGTGCCTGTGTGTGTGTGTGTGTGTGTGTGTGTGTGTGTGTGTGTGTGTGTGTGTGTGTGTGTGTGTGTGTGTGTGTGTGTGTGTGTTTGCTCTCGATCTACTTTATATTACCAATAAAAGAGGTAGTGAGATATTAGGAGCGTAAGGGAGACAGAAAAAGAGGAAAGTTAATTCCCTATTTCACTATTTTTGTCCTGGTATTCGTCACGTTATTTCTTAATCTTGTCAAAAGTGCTCTATGAAATAATTATTTTACAAGTCTTTGAAACTGAGCAGGGTGTAATGGTGTAGAAACTAAGGGAACATTAAAGTTTCAAGATTGCAAAATATAAAAATTTTATATGCATACACCGAAATACTAGCAGTTACGTATGTTACGTACGAAATTAATCACCTTCATTTCATAGAAAGATTATATAATCATAACAATCATGCATGCAAACTATAATGCAACAAATAAATCACCAAGATTTTTTTAGATAAAATAACAAAAATGGTAAAAAAGGAATATGGAAGGGAGAATGGGAAATACTAATTATTTTCTTAAAGGTAGTTATATTTGTACATTGAAAATACCGTGGTTGCATATCTTTCTAACTGGCGCTTTGCAACATCTAGAGTCCATAGCAGGTGTAATGGTGTAGAAAAAGTCAATAAGAAATAGGGGGGATGGAGGAGAGTGGACAGGCGAGCGAGGGAAATAAAAAGTGGGGGAAACTAAATTTTACAGGTATATATATTTTTTTCACTATATAGCCTACGAGTATTCGCAAAATTAAAGCGTTGCTCCCAACTTCACAATGCTAACACCATCTCGTGGACATTGTACTGAGGGAGTAAGGTCTGTGCGCAAACCAGCAAAATATTTATTCATTTTATCAAGAAAGCTTTTGTAAAATCAATGTTAAGAAATGAATGTAGGGAATATCTAGCAATCATATAAAAAATACTTTGAATTCCTTTTCAGTCACAATATTTGATCACAAATAATTTCGTGTAGATAAAGTCATCAGTATGTAAGGATGTATATTCATTATGGACATATTATTTCTACCTTGGACACATCCTGATAATCTTTTTTTATATATATATTATCATTTGGTAAAATAATATCAATGAAAAAAAATGTAACACACGTTAATGTTGTATATTACATACAAATTCTTGAAAATATTCCATTCACAATTATTACCGGTAGAGAATAAAAGGAATCCAAAGTACCAGTATCGTCGTGATCCGTCGTGGAAGAACGACCAATATCAGTACCTACAAAATTACTCATCAAACTATTTTCTAACAGGTCTATTACCAATCAATTTATTTAACCCGGGTAGAAATTAACTGATATGTAATATGAAATATCCGAAGAAATCGCAAACTTCTCATTTATCATAGAAAAGGTGATAACTAGAAGCGATACTTTTTCTCATGTGTTATTTCTCCAGCATCACAGTTGGTTAGGAAGGTGTAACAACATGCCTTTGAACTTGGAAAGATAATAATAATAATAATAAAATGGCAATAACTACGTCATGATATGGAACCTGATGATTAGAACCAGTATTATTAGATATTAGATGGTATATAACGACTATTTGATTGGTAAGGAAAGACAACGATACCCCCACACGTGAGAATCTTCGTCCGATTTTCATAATTTTCATAATTGCAATTAAACCCGCCTAGATATATAGTTGACAATTGTTAGTTGTTATGTTAAATCATTATCATAAGACATAAGATTCTTTATATCTGGGTTTCTTTTAATACCAATATGTTGTGTGATCTTAAGTCATCAGTAATAGGGTTATATATTTTGCAATGTATGTAAACAGTAATTTATAAAGAAAGCTTCAAATTTTGAACAATATATCTAAAATCCGTAATTTCACGTGCCATGTCTACAACACTGTATTTATTGTCATTCATGATTGTGTATTTCTATCAGTATAAAATGCGGTCTTCATTTTTGCATGTGAGAATCGTGTGTTTATGTGCATGTGAAATACGAATACAAAAGTGTATAAGGAAAAACAGAACGCGTTTATGTGGGTGTGGAGGAGGTGTATACTCAAGCAACACTCGCGAGTTTATTCTATACTCTGGCGTAATTAGAATGCTCGAAATTGTTTAATCATTATCCGCTTTCTTTTCCACTATTTCTTATTGCAGGTGTATGTGTATTGTGTACTTCTTTACAACTTTCTGTAGGTGCTTTAGGTATCTTAGGGCTATGATAATGTGCATGGCAAAGTCACCCCAGCAAAGCGATGAAAGAAAGACAGAAAACGAGTCCGTTCATTCGTGGCGGTAACAAAAGTAAATGTGATTTTGTTTCTCAAGCATTCAGAAACTGTTTATGGGTGGTCATTTTGCTGTGCGATAATAATTTTGAATACATTACACTTTGATGCCTTTGAAAAATCATGATGCAATTGCAAGAAAATGTAATAATAATGGTGACAGGACCAGTGATAATGATAACTGAAATAATATGAAGTTTCGCTGCATAATTGCAATATATTTGGATACTAGAGAATAAGAGCAATCCATCGATAGCAAAATCGATAATGCGAAGGCATTCTGAAAAAATTACCATAACTGGATCCCTACCAGCGGTAAATAGATTGATTGCAATAGATTTGTTAGCAAATATTTCGATTGATGAGTAATTTTGTAGGTACTGACATTGGTCATTTTTCCATAACGGATTATGACACTAGGGGATTCCTTTCATTCTCTACTGGTGATATGTAGGACTTTTACAGAAGAATCCACTCCATACGTAAAATATAGCTTGGGGTCGAAATATATTATTTTGTATAACATAAGACACCAGTCTATATTTTTTTCTCAGTAACAATAGTTCTTAGCTATTGCCTCATTATTATTAATGCATACTGTTAATATGTAATGGTTTTCCATATCAATATCCAAAATTCTGGGAAGAACTTTACATCTCAATCAGCACAATGATAAATGAATATATTCTTATGTACTGGTGACTTTATCATTATTGTTGTTATTGTTATAGTCGTAATAATATTTATTATTGTTATTTCTATTACTATTACTATTATTGTTATCATCATCATCATCATTATGATTATTATTATTATAATCATCGTCATCTTTATTATTATCACAATTGTTATTATTGTTATTGTTGATACCAGTATCATTATTGTTATTACTATTATCATTACTGTTATCATAATTAAT